AATTGAGCTTGAACAAGACTGGTGTACTTCAGGAAGATGCACATTTGTAGTTAGATAGAAGCTCTTTTATAGACAACTGTTATTCATGGCACAGTTCCTTTAAACAGGGTGCTGGAGCAAGTGAGCTCCAGGGAAGCTAATTAGGGAAGACGCTGTAGTAGTAGTTTGTTTTTGTTTGTTTTAAATGAACAAACATTTTTTTAAATGTTTGTTCATTTTTTTAAATGAACAAACATTTTTTGTTTGTTTAAAAAAAAAAAACTCATTCTCATTCTGAAGTGAGACTACAACAGTGTTTTACGAAAGAGACAACTGACTGAAGCAGTTGTTACACACTTACAAATATTTTCTGGGAGTGATTTTCTTATTTTCAGACGTGAAGCAACATAGCTACACTGGTAATTTAGAATTATCAACATTTTCATGTGAAATCATCACAGCAAGCAGCTGCAAGTTTTTATTTATATATATATATTTTTTAATAGTATTGCATCAGACTCTCTCTTTATTATTATTATTATTTTACAGCTCAAATTGTTACTCACAATTGTTTGTTTTGTTATGTTCATTCATGTTTATGTTCAAATGTTAATTTTTTTTGTGTCAGGCCAAGGTTTACTTTACAAATTCCCAAACAAGGTAGGGTTGAAATGGCTTAATTTTTAAGAAGTTTTAAGACCAAACGGGCGTTAAAGTCCTATAAGCGTTGCTTGGGGATCAGTTTTCTCAAGAGCCAAGATTTTGTTGGCTAAATGTTTCTTATACATTGTGTAACAAACACTCAAATGGATAGGAGACTTAAAGTGAAAAAAGCAGTTTAAATTTAATTGGTGCATGTTAAAGCCTAATGAAAAAAAATAAAACATTTAAATTGTTTGCATTTTTTCTGTGCTTTTTTTTTGTAGAGTACTGAACTTTTGGTAATGTCTTGCTGCTTAGTGCTGTCATCTAAAACAAATCTAATTGAAACAACAAGATAGATATTCATTAAACTACCAAAACCATACATGAACAAGACATTAACTAGTTGATGTAACAAGGCAGAATGTTGTTGAATTGAAGTGCTTTACCGACATTGAGTGAATAAGAATAAATTTGATAAGACTAACACAATACAAACATTTTGATTCAATTAGTTGCAAAGAAGTTACATTGACATATCAAAATCATGTTTAATCTACAAATGTATATTGTGTTCATATAACATATTCAAAGCAGTCCAAGTTTACTTGATTTGATTAGATGCATAATGGGTGCTACGATTAAATCACGTTCATTCAACAATTAATTTTTTTGAGTGTAGTGCCGTGTTTGACATCATAGATCATGACATATTGGCTAGATTACATAAGTCACAGAATTACATTAGTATTCAGGAACAGGCAATAAAATGGTTTAGATCAGGGGTGCAAAACACAGTTTCTGCAGAGTTTAGCTTCTTCAGGCTTGTTTGAAAACTACATAGTATATTTGTTAGAGCAAGGTTGGAACTAAACTCTGCAGGGCTTGGCCCTCCAGGAATTGGGTTCTGAATTGGATCCTACCCATCTGACGGTTACCATTGTGTCTCTGTAAATGAGGAAGAATCCAATCTTATAGCTGTAAAATATGGAGTGCTGCAAGGATCTGTGTTAGGCCCTCTGCTGTTTTCATATATAAGCTGCCTCTTGGAAAAACTATGAGAAAACATTGGATTAGTTTCCACTGTTGTGCTGATGATACTGAGCTATATATTTCTTTAGATAAGATGAAATTCCTAAATTAACCAAGTTAACACAGCTTTTTAAGAATATTAAAGACTAAATTGCTTATGGGCGAAATAGCCTATGCCATATTTGTTTATTTTTAGTCAGTCACCAACTGAGCTTGAACTATTCCTTTAAGAGTTAAAAATATTAATTACTTGCAAAATATCTGCTGTACACTCATCATTTAAATATAAGATTTATATATATATATATATATATATATATATATATATATATATGCTGCCTCTTGGAAATACTATGAGAAATCACTGGATTAGTTTCCACTGTTATGTTGATGATACTGAGTTATATATTTCTTCAGACCAGATGACTTTCTAAATTACTCAAGTTGACAGTGTTTTAAAGATATTAAAGTCTAGATTACTTATGGGCAAAATAGCCTATGCCATATTTGCTTATTTTTAGTCAGTCACCAACTGAACTAGAAATATTCCTTTAACCCCCGGTTTCATAGACAAGGCTTAAGCATAGTCCCAGACTAAAATGCATGTCTGTTCTGTTTTAACTGTCAGAAACTTGCACTGACATCTTAAAATATGTTAGTGCCAGTGTTGGGGAAAGTTACTTTTAAAAGTAATGCATTACATTATTGCGTTACTCCATAAAAAAGTAACTAATTACGTTAGTTAACTTTTTATGGAAAGTAATGCATTACGTTGCTTTTGCGTTACTTTTTAAATCTGGACAGGGCTTGCTTGTTTGTTTTTAAAATAAAAAAGTTATATTTTTGGCAAATATAAAAGCCTTTTCACACCAAAAGTGAAATGAATAAGCCTCAGGCTGAAGGAAATGTAAATGTACGTCCGTACAGTAGAATGCAGAAGAAGACATTTCAACACACTTCAGCAATAAAAAAAGACACACAAATGTTTGTCTAGAATAATTTTTGCTTATTAGTACGGTTGAACTGGATCATCGAAGGTCAGAAGCAAAGACATTGGTTAATAGAATGGGATTAAATACATAAAGGATATTTGTGTTGTTTAACATTTAATTATTGCAGGTTTGCGTCATATTCTGAGTTGAATTATTTTTATTCATTTTGAGGAATAATGAATCTGCACTGTAAAAAATGAATCATGGGTCTTGTAATTTTCATTAAAAAAATTAAGGTGATAATTAAAAATACTGTGTATATTTCATTAAAGAAATTGTGATTCAGTGTTGCATAGAAAATATTGAGGACTTTTTACTAATAAAACCAAGAGATGTGTTTTCCTCTTTTTTTTTAAAGGAAACTAATGCAGTTTTGGGGCTTGAATTGAGGAACGGATTAAACAACAAAAAAATATTTTTTTTAAGTAAATAGCTTGTTCCATTTTTTACAGTGTGTGTGTGTGTTTTTTTGTTTTTTTTTGTGAGTGAGATGAATTAATGCATATTCATATTTATTTCAGAACTACAGTAACATCTTCTGATTTCTCTCAACATGGGGACAGGAGAGCTGTCAATCAATACATTGAAAAAAAAAGAAGTAACGTGCGTCACTTATTTGAAAAAGTAACTCAGATATTCTCTTGTAAATTAAAAAGTAATGCGTTACTTTACTAGTTACTTGAAAAAAGTAATCTGATTATGTAATTCACGTTACTTGTAATGCGTTACCCCCAAAACTGGTTACTATTGATTTGTCTCAAGATGCACACCAGTAATGTTTTTTCTAAGGCACGTTTATAAAAGATAGTTAAATGTCCTAATTAGATCTATGGCCTAATCCTGGTTTATCCTAAGCCCTGTCTTTGAAACCAGGCCTATGAGTCCTAAAATAATCATCACTTGCAAAACATCTGCTATACTATATTTAAGATTAATGCATTTGACCTGAATATAAAATTTCCATCCATTTGGATTATTTTAAATAATAATTAATAGTTTAATTCATTTTAATTTGATTATTTAAATATATAAATCTTAAATTTAAGCCAAAATATTTAAGTGTAATACAATTGATACAATTTATTTGTTGCTTTCAAAAAACACTTTTGAAGGGCCATTAATGGAGAAAGATATGTTTTGTAGCCCGACGGTTTAGTTACAACATCTTCCAGCATGATCCTAACAGCCAAACCTCTGTTGTGCTAGCTCAGGTAAATATTGATATTAGATGCAAATATGAATTGACTGATAAATCCACTTCTGTAATGATGTTGTATTCGTGTTGATTTGAAATGTCTTTAAAATGCACTGTTCAGACAAGCGCTTGAGTGGGGAAGATTATGGCTTCAGGCTGCCTGTTTCAAATGCGTCATGCTTTAAATGAATTAAAACGATGTACACCAGCCTATTAAAAAACTGTTTCATATGACCAAGTTTTAATTTCATGCAATCTTAGAGATGTTCGGTCATAATCCCTAAAGGGCTATGGAATGTGTTTGAATGTTTATGGGAATATGTTAAAGTTTGAAGATGGGATCAGGCAAACTGTTGATATGGTCCCTTCTGTGAGCATACATAACCTCTACAGCTCATCTATCTGTACTGGATGTCAATCGATACTGCACTGCTTCATATTTTTTAA